GGTCTCAATCAAAGTGAGGAGGGGCGTCCTCGCATGATCTAAAATACACACAAGTCCCCACATTGATAGATGAACGAGAATACACAGAGCTGGTTTGTGTGTCTGCAGGTTTCTGGCCCAGCTTGAAGTCCGTCTGTTATCTGTTATTAAAGGTTCAGTTCACTCGGTGCATAAACAACAGCACATTCTGAGTCTTCTCTCTGACGGAGTCGTAATAATGATCATAATGCACTAAAATACACTGCACATTATCTCGTTACAATGGGACCTGTCAGGATGTGGGTTATATTAGACAGCCGTTGAACAGGGAGCGCTTGAAGCTGATGTGTTGGAGGCAGGAAGGATGGGCGGTGCGAGGATCTAGGCCAAAAAATGTTTTAAAAAGAGGGAAAAGCTTGAAACGTTAAATATTTTTAATGTTTGCATGCCTGTATGCACAGTTGGGTAGTTTAAGCATTTATTTGTCTATAACTAGTATCATTAAATCATTTCTTCCTGTGTTCTGAAACAAAGGTGTTAAGTTTTCTCTGCTGTTTGTATCGTGACACTGTGATACTTTGTCGCCTCCTTGTGGTGCAGCTAAAAATTGCAGGCTGTGAAAACCCTGCAGCTCCTCAGTAACATCTTTCATGACCTGCTAGAAAAAGCTCTTTTAACCCATTTTAACTCTTCAGTGACGGGAAAAGTGTTCAGCTGGTTTTTTACATTGTAAGATGAGGATTTGGGCTACAAGTGTGAAGAAACCAAAAGGAGAGTTTTTAAGCATTCTGTGTCCGAGCAGAAATGTTCAAATATGAAAGATTTTCCACCATGTGCTCACCAGACCTCAGTGATCTAGTGAGACTATAAATAAATATCTGTTATTTAAACAGGTTGCTTCTTTATCAAGACAGACCAGTGTACAAGGGCAAAGTGTGCAGTTTTAGAGCAGGCAGAGGTACAGTTAATACGGATGCATTTGATTTGTTCAGGAGTTGGAGGCAAGGATGAAGGTTAAATAGAAGTGAACCCCTGAGATTATGAGTACTACATTAAAAATGTAAGTAAAGAACAGGCAAACCAGGCAGTCTTAAATCATAGTAAGTACCCCTGAGTCCTGGGTTTCTCAGGGCCATGTCTGTATTTTAACCCTCTGGCGTCGCCCGACGCGCCGGCGTGTCAAAATCACATGACCAATTTAAGACGACACAGCTACAAGGCGCAGCAAGTCAGTCTCCATTTCAACTTGGGTCGAAAGTGCGGACTTCATACTATATACCAGTTTTTTTTTTTAAATTGTGTCGATGGGCCACGTAAAAATACACGCAATGGTTTTTTTTCTGAACAAAACAGTGGCGTTTACAGCGGGAAGGACGGTAAAAACGGCGTTTTCTACAGACAGCGCTAGCAAACTCTTTCCGCTTGCGAGTGAAAAAAGAAAAAGAAAAAACACCCCTTCCCTATTGGTGTTAGAGTTTACCATGTCAGCCAATCAAAAAAATGATAAGGCAACATGTGACATTTGGTTGTTTAGGGAGAAGGGGAAGTTTTTAGGAGTGACACCCGAGCGAAAGACAGAGAGAGAGAGAGCAAGTTTTCATATGTGAAACATTAGTGACGTTTAGCGTGTTTGGAGGCTGTAGTTAGTTTGTTGTGTAGTTATTGTTTTGTATTGTGTGTCAGTTAGACTGCTGAATTTCATATCTCTAAAAAAAGCCGTCAAAGGCAGATTCCAGTGTAAACGCTGTTCCCACATGGAAAACTGGACTGATGCACCTCCTGCTGTCAGACCTGCAGGGTTTAGGCCTGAGCTGTTCTCCTCTGTCTTATACTGAACACAAACTACATTTTTTGGACTGGCACAAATAATTTGTGTGCCTTCTTATTTGATGCAGCCCAGCTGATTGTTCTGTAAATAGATTTAAATGGTTATATAAAAAAACGCCTGAGTACCATAGTACCATATAACTTTGTTGTTTGCAAAACTTGTGCATAATTTTTAGGAATGTACAATTTCTATTTGCATTTCAAGTTATGAAAATGATTCGTTAAACATGTTTGTGGGTTTTACAGTAAAAAATATAACTTTTTTCTACTCAGATTTTGAATTTTTTGTCTGAATTTAGATCAACTGTGCTAATGTAGTATACCAAAGTGAAAAAAATAACTCAAATTTCGGATATTTGAGGTTGTGCTGAAAATAATGATACCAAACAAGGCAAGAAAAACATATTAAAGGTGAAATATAGAGGTAAAATCAAAAGTAGTCAAAAACATCCAATTATACCCTGGACCCCAGAGGGTTAAGTAAATGAAGTGTCAGAATATTATTTCAGTTTCCATCACGTGCCCAGTGGGACTTTACAGAGTTTACAGGCACTGTTTGGGAGTTTTGCTTCTATATGGTTTAACCATTTCAAGTACTTTTCTCCAGAGACTGAAATGTTCAACCTTTAATCTGAAGACAAAGTGTTTAATTTGATTCATTGTGTAATGTCTTATTCTTGGAAAAACGTAATGAAACGAGATACACTGCAAGAGCGCAAATCTCCACCAAGACACCTCAGTCTCTGGGCACGATTTACTTTTAAGGGAATAGTGTTTGTATTTTGTATGCAAACATTGTTCAAGAGTAGCATGAATAACACCAACTTATGATATAGCATTATGCTACAGTTTATTTCTAACTAGGCAGCTCAACTAGGCAGATCGTTTTCTTGACTATATTTTAAAGATATAAAATATTTATAGGTCAACTTGAAAGAAACCCAGATGTGTGAGGTCAGAGGTCAAATGTGACGTGATACTTTAAGTTTTAATATGTTACTTTCTACATGTGGATAACACACACCACACTTGTAAGAATCATGGTTTCTAAGTTGAGGCAGTTTTCAACCAATAAATAAATAAAAGACTGCAGAACCAAATTTTAATGGATTGTTTACATCAAAACTTTATTCAAAACATTTGTGTTTACAGATCAAATGGCATGCAGGTATAAAAAGGAATCAGTTACACATTCTTCCGTCAACGTACAAACCTTAAAGTGTTCAGAAGCGACGGGCTCAGTTTGCTTAAAAATGCCTTAAATGTCCTAGAATCAGTAAATTGGCTACTGAGGAAGAAAAATAATTGATAAACTTCATCAGTGGTGCATCATGTTCTACAGAAAGACAAAAAAAAAAAGAAAGTGAAGCTGAAAAACAGCAGATTTTTACCAAGTTGGCAGGATTTTTTTAACATTCCTTCAAAATAAAACGTCAAGTTTTCATCTTCAGTGTCTCTTTCTGTCTCTTCTCAGTTTCCCTCTAACGGCAGTAATCAGATCCACATCCCGGCTCTGAGCGTCGACGGCCTCTCCACCCCCGTGGTCCTCTCCCCGGGGCCCCAGAAGCCCTGAGCTCCCCGCCCGCCTGAAGCAGCTCTTCGCCGGGCACAACCTCGCCCAATGATCTCCTCAACTCCTGGAGGGTCGGAGGAAAAGCCGGATCTGCACTGACTCTGAAATGCATCACTAAAAACCCGACGCCATGAGAAGTTTAGGCTGCATCGGCTGACTCTTTTTGGTAGGTGTGATGGTTTGTGTGGGCCTTTCACTGGTGGACGCGTTCGCAGCCGAGGATCAGTCAGACCCTCCGCTGATTCTTACTTTCTAACAGGTGGGAATCTGCGCTTTGTCCTCCTTCCACCTTCCTGTTTCTTTCATAGCTTTGTACTCAAACACTATGACAGCGGGGTTTCGAGAGAACCAGATGCTTCTCTCGACTTGAACTCATCACAAGAAGCCGACACGAGGACATAAACGGCAACTAAAGGCCACGAGAAGACGGAGGGATGTTTTTCTCTTTTTCTACTGGTGTTTTTTAAACCTGTCGTTGGATTTCTTTCTATAATATTGTGAGGTCCTTACCTTACGATGCAAAAGTGCTCTGACGTGACTGTTGTCAAATAAAACAGCTTAACCTTGAAGATGGCTTTTATAGCCGGTCTGCTCACTGAAAACTGACAGCAAACAAATGTCTGTTTTCAAACGGTTTCTTCAGTGTGTGACGGAGGGGAACCGGAGAAAAGCTGGAGTCGTCTCTTATTTGAGTTTTTACTAAACAGAAGATTTGACTTGACGTTTTCTGGGAGTAACTGATCGCGGACTGGAAGGAGGGTCTCACGAACGTTCACATGTTTGTGTGTAAAAGGATCTGCAGTTCCTCATAATCTCACATTTTTTCTGATGGGATCTTTTGGTTTTTAAATTCGAGGTTATTTATTCCTGTCTTGTTTCAATGCACCTTTCTCTGCAGATTCCTTAAAGGTTCTTGACTGTTTTTAAAACGGTCTCATCTTTTTTTTTCCCCTCATTTTTTAAGCTACCAGGCGACTCTCTCCCAGTTGGAATTTAATTTCAGCACCAACACTGACATTTTATAAACTCACCTTCTGCTGGATTTCTTCAGAAACGACTTTCAGAGCCATTTAAGGGTTGTTGCTTTGCTCTTACTGGCCGATTTTAAAGGTCACGCCTTTCTCCGGTTCTGCATGGCCTGTTTTTTGTTTTTTGGTTGTTTATTGTTTGTTTTGTTTTGAGTGGACTCGTCAGCAGCATTTCAAACTGACCAATCACAAAGGATGAAGATGACGGTGGACCTGAGGTTTTTCAAAGCCAAGTTCTTTCTCTATAAAAGTGTCTAAATGTGACAGATTGTATATTTTCTCACAGAGTTTAATGTCCAAACTGACCTGAAGTGTCTGTCAGACTTGATTTAAAGGTTTTACCGAGGACAGAGTCACATTCCTCTGGTTTTTAAAACAGTGATAGATGAGTTTGCGTTACTTATTAACAACTGCTTATTGTTTGAATCTCAGCAGTCATTCCAGAGATTTTATTTGAGCACCTCTGAAAAATAAATGTTTTGTTCCCAAAAGCCTTGAAACAAATCTGCAGTCATGTTGCCACAAGTTGAAAGAGTCGCATTTATTCTCCTTTCACAGCCTTTAATGTATTGAAAGCTTTTTCTGTGCAAAACCCAACAACAAAGGACCGAGTTTAATGACACTCTGTCATACTGGTGCTTATGATTGAAACATTTCAAATAATTTGATCAATTTGTGTTTAATAAAGCACCAAAAACCATGAAAAACATAAATTCTCCAACATCCAAGTCTACGTCCTCATTTTGTACAAACATCAGCACAACATTTCAAAATTAAAAAGGCATTAGAAAAGCATCAGATGGTCTTTAGTGTCAACCTTGGAACAAGATGACTAAGAAAATATTTTTTTTCTTTTATGGCTTAAACGCGTATTTAATTGGATCTCGGAAGACATCCTTGATGGCAGGGGCTGATTTATCTGTTTATCTGTGTGTGGAAAAAAAATTAGTTCTCTGAAATTTAAATAAAAACTAAACTTTCAGATAAAATACAAATACACAGGAAGTGGCTCTAACTTTAGTCTTTGTCAGTTTGGTAAAATTTGCTCTCGGAGTTTAACTTAAACTCCTCGAGGTCATAAATAATCTGACCACATCAAATCTCAACGACCTCGTAGTACCATGTAATCCCATCACAACACCTTACTCTCAGACTGCTGGCTTACTTCTGTTTACTGAGTTTCTAAAATTTAGAGTGAGAGGCACAGCCTTCGGTGTTCAGGCTAATCTCGACTTTCAGACTCTCTCAGCTTTGCTGCTGTGGGCTCAGCCTGCTGGAGGACTTCCCATGATGCACTGAGAGTTCCTTCTCCACTCCCACCTCTTCACTCCCTGCTGCAGATCGCAACGTTTTCTTTCTTGTTTCTCGGGTGACGTATACGTCTGCCCCTCCCTCAGCCTGGTGCTTTTGGAGATCTCTTCATGTTTAAAAAGAAAAAGAAAATAAATAAGTTCTTTCTCCCCTCTGTTGCCAAGTGTTGCACAAGGGGATCAGCTGATTGTTGGGGTTTTCTCTTCAACCCCGTAGACTCTTTTTGATTTAATTCCAATAAAATAAATTTGAATGAAAAAGGAAGAAATGAAACCTTTAAAAACTAACACTAAACACTTTCATTGATTTAAAAACGAAACTCAAACAAACTAAAATTGAACTGAAACCTGATTAACGAAAAAACATAACTGTGTTAAATGTTGTCCCGTCAGTTCTTACAGTTGGATTTGAGATTATTCAAAGATGAGCGTCCTCTAATCTTCAGGGCACCGCAGTGATTTTTATCCACTTAAGAACTTTAAAAGATCAAAACTCTGTGGAACAAAGTATCAGATAATCCCAGTTTTAAACATTTTTTAAATCCTTGCTGGTAAAGTTTGATAATTTTAGGTTGTGGGACATGCGGTCGTTTGTTTTGTTCTCTCAGCGTCGGCTATGAAGTATATGAGTTTTACTGTACATGATTTACAAACAACTAGGAGGCTTCATGCATTAGAACAATGATTAGTTGGATTTTGTGCAGTCTTTAGTTTCGTTTACAGACCTTTTCCACTAATATCAGCTCGGCTCGGTTTTCAGGGTTTCCCATTAGGTGGTAGTACCTGGTACCTGCTCCATTGGGGTTCTGAATGGTCCTAAAATGTGACTGCATGTCAACAGACAGCATGCAGGTCAGTGGCGTCACTCGATGTGTCATGAGAGCAAGTCCTTCACAAAATTCCAAACCGCCATTTTTGAAATCCGGCAGTGAGGGAAAGTGGCTCCACACAAACCAACACCGATGAGGTGCAGACACTTGGCATCGGTTTGGCAGCAGGTATACCAACGCTTCGATATCCTCCACTGTTGTGTTGTGGCGCATACGAATGACATCACAGGAATTTTGGCGGTGTTGCCACAGCAACCCCAAGGACACTGATGTGATTGTATTATAATAGAAAACGACTGAAACAGAGCCGAGCCGAGCAGATCAGACTGGATACTTGGTTCTCTCAGAGGACCTGGAGTTTCGCTTGATTTTCACGAACATGTGATTTTTAAAGCGTGTTTGACGTGAACTTGTGGCGACATCGAAAACCTGCAGAGACAAAAAAAAATGTTTTGTTTTGTTTGTTTGTTTCCCCCAAAATTGTAGACAGACACTGACTCATGTTCCTCTAAAAAAAACAAACAAAAAAACCCAGACTGTTGATGTTGTTGTTGTTCGTGTTATTTCTAATGCTAGCTGTGGTTGCCACGGTAACCTGACCCGACTGTTGCCGCCCTGCAGGTTGCTGTTGTCATTGCTGTTGTTATCGTTGTTGCTGCTGGAGCTGTTAACGTGTTTCTATGCTTCTGTGTGTGACGCCAAGGCTGCAGACACGCACACGCACGCACACACACACACAATGCAATCTTTGTGAGGATTCATTGGAGGGGTCGGTCCGTCCATGCTAACTCAAGCTTTGCTCAGTTACTCGCTGTGATGTTGCTACTGCTGGCACATCTTGCGCTCGGGCAAGGGTGAGGAGGAAGCTCGGGCATAGATACCCAGAAGGTGCAGAACATGCTCCAAGAAAACAAAAGTTAACGAAAACTTGTGTTCATATTTGAATTACGCCTTTCTCCAAATTCATAACATTACGTTTCGGTATTTCAGTGACATTTCTCTTAAGATTACAGTTTAGGGTGCACTGCTGTGCTGCGCCGACCACGCCACAAATTACTGCAGCATCACTGCTGTGCTTTTTACCAGCAACATGGTGTCGTTACCAAATCTGTAACTACCTGTTTCTACTTGAAAAGTATGATGGGGGAAAGAAAATACTGCACTAACTGAGCTAAGAGATTTTTGGTGGCGAAGGTGGGCCCACTGGTGGTAGTCTCTATGGGAAGGGCTGCCAAAAGAAATGCACAGTCATCCATATTTCTTCTGTACAATACTATGCTTTGGGTTGCAGACCTGACCGGTTCAGAAAAGGCAAGAAAGCGGAAGTGGCTTTGCTCCAACAGTGTTTAAAGTTCAACAGACAAGTTGGAGAAATTTAGGCAGGCGTTGAAGCGCAGCAGGGGCTGCACTTATGGCCAAAGTGAGTCAGTCGCTATTGACTCGTGTTCAAATGTCCAACTTAAGTAAAATGGTCTTTGCACTCTACAAAATATTATTGTGAAAAATGTAATTTGTTTTGATTTGACAGATGTTCCTCTCTGCTAGTCGTAGAACTGGGCCTGTCTTGTGTGTGCTGTTGGCACCTTTTGGATTATTTTTAATGGAAAAATGTGTCTTTGTTTACAGTCAAATGTAATGGCAGCAAGTATCAAGTAATCTAAGCTTTTAGGTTCAAGGTTGGTTGAGCTAAGAGCAGTGCAGTGTCTGCAGTGAGGTTCAGGCTGAGGACAGGGGGCGCTCTGGATTTGGACAGATGGTTCATAGATGAGAGGAAAAGCCCGACTACCCAACCTTTCAAAGGTGGGTCCTCACAAGGTTGACCCTCTATTTGGTTCCCACAAAGATAGCTGTGCAAGCACACACGCACACACACACACACACACACACACACACAGCTGGAGCGTCAGGGACTGAGTGAAGCTCGTATTCAGTGTTTCCACCTTCACTGAGGTTATTCTGCAACTCGTTAAATACCTGAAACATCCTGCAAAACAAAATCTTTCTTTACTACTTAATTTTTTTTACAATGTGAAGTTTAAAAAGGAACAAAAAATCTGATTCAAGATAGAGGTTTTAGTTTTCTCTACCTGATCCAAGCTAGAGCAATCCTTCATCAGCTCCTCTGAATTCAGCCTCAGATCAGTCCCTGACGGCGGGATTTCCCAGCCTTTGCGGCGACGTAAACGCAGCACCAAGCCATCGTGTTCGACTGTTCTCTCTTTACAGCATGACTCTATTTTTCTATCAGAGATGACGTGTTTATATTGCGTATAAGATTTAAAGAGCGACGAAGCCTTAAAGATTTCAGCTGCAGCAGAAGAAAGATGCATCCTCATTTAAAAAAAAGAAAAAGATACTACCTGTTGTGTATCTTTCTTTCAGAGCATGATGATGAAAAATAAGCCATTTATCGAGAAAAGCTGAACTTTGTGTATCGAGTTTTGGATGCAGGGTTTGAGTCCGACATGTTTAACTTCAAGCTAACCTTTCTCTCACCAGCAGAACATGACGAATGTCTTTATATCGATTAGAAACTGCTTTGCATTCTGGGTAATGTCCAGATTTCTGTTTTTGAAACTCATCACCGTCTGAGCGAACTTGACGAGGGGTCTGCTTTGCAAACGCTGCCTGTATGCAGATGAAAGATGCTTGCAAAGTGACATTTGAGGAAATACTTCACCTGCAGGCCTTTAAGTCTTAAAACAATATTTTCAGACGTCTTTAATTCACAGAAGTCTTAAACTGTCTCTCTCGAATGTGAATCCCTGAAAGGAAAGCACATTATGGAAGAGGCAAAGCAAACCCCTGCCTCCAGTTACATAAGGCATCTTTTCACTGTAGGGGCAAAGTGTTGTAAAGGTATCTGCCTTAACAAAGTTCTTGGGCGCTTTCTCCAGGTTTAAAGAATCAGAATCGAAGCCGCTCAGCGGCTCCTACCCCGAAAAGGGTTTCTGTAGATCCTGAGATCTGAACATGCGAAGATTGAAAGCCAAAACAGCCGGCTGGTTCCTGCAGTCAGAGGCGGTCTGTGGACATGTACTCAGGATTTGGTGATGAGTTTCACTTCATAAACATCATCAGTTAGATTTTCTGCTCTGGTTTTTTGACATTTATAAAGGAAGCCGTTCCTTAAGTCCAGTGAGGAACATCTGTTGTTCCTGAGCTTTCTGTCTGTTCACTTGAGGCCTGGAGTTTTCTCAGTGGTTTTCATCTCATAAACCAAAAGTTGTTTGGGTTTTTCACGTTGACGTCCAAAGCCTGGACAGACTTCGCTGCCGGTCATTCTGCATTTGAGCGTGCCGTCCAGCTGCACTTCAGAAACTGTTCGTGTGCAAACCAGCTCAGTGCAACTTAATGAATCTTTGTCTTACTGTAACATTGTTTCGAATTATAGTAACTTTGATATGGTAATACATCTAATATATGACTTGTTCAATGACAAAACATAACATGAAAAATGAATAAATATTCACGCCTCTTTTAAGACGGTGATTTCTTTTTATAACAAATATTTATAATCTGCTTCCTGTTATCATAATTATGTATCTGCTAATAGAATAGAAATAGGTCATTCGTGCTGGGACGTATGAGCAGCTTCTTGTTATAATGACAAAGATTGAATAAAAGTTTAAAAAAGGCGTAAAACGAGAAATTAAATGATGACAGTTCTTGTTTTCACCGAGCTCCGTTACAGGAAAGAGTTTCTTGTTATAACAACAAATGCCTCCTTATGTCAAAGGTTTGTGGAAAATAACTAGAATTTAAGCTTAAAATCTTTCTTGCCAGAAAAGTTTAACATTATGCAAAAATTAAAATTTTTAAATGCTGTCATTCAGATACTTTTTTTAAATTTTGCAATTTTTAATTAACATTTGCACATCTGTCGAGCGGTTTCATCCTTTGGTTATTGAGCCTTAATTGCACAGTTTAAATTGCTAGTTTTGAGGGAAAAACTAGCAATTTAAACTCAGAGGAAGAGCACTGACCCATGATCCTTTGCAGCAGGATGACAGACAGAAAGCTCCGGAAGCCGATGGCTGACGCGCCTCCTAATTGTAAAGAGGTTTTCTGTCCACGGTTTATGTGGAAATCTTCACTGTATATAGACGCGAAATATAATCTGAACATATGAATATGCTATATATTCTGTACCATGTGACAGGCCTGACCAATGGGCTGGGGGTTGTTAATAACGTGTTGTTCCTGTGGCCTGTCGTTGCTGTCAGATCCTGCGTGGCCCCTCCCCTCCTCGGCTGTGATTGGCCATGGAGTTTATTGATGTAAAGTGGCGGGGCCTGCTTTTATTTTTCTGAGATAGAGTTCTACATGTTTAACATGTTATTTACTGGAACCATTTAAAAGAAAAGCTATTTTTTATGGACGTGATTTTAGTTTTTGTTGGTGTACCATGTTATGCTGATGATTCCTCTTGTTTTCTACAAACACATGCACACACACTGGGAGGACGGTAATAAAACTATTTTGTCCTGTACAGTTTGTACTGTCTCATTTATGACTTTTGAATGCTAAGCATACCTGGGCACGGGAAGCCGTTTAGTTCAAACTTCTAGCATACATGTTGAGTGCTTGTGATGAGTTACCCTTAGTTAAAAACAATAAACTTCAGATTTAGAAATGTAAGAATTCTGAGAGGAAACGCTCGCTCAGAGAAAGTCATGTGATTTCAGATGATTCAGAGAGAATATGCTGACTCATCAGTGATCACCCAGACGCCGGCTGGCACATCAATGCGATGAGCACGCACACAGAGCACAAAATCAATGATTTCTCCATCAGCTCAAAGTAAAGCACTGACTGAAAAATAATTTAAAAACACCAGAGTGTTAGATCTGATTTTATTTCATGTATAATGTTCTTTATGTTTAATTATTAAAGATCTATTTTGTAATTAGGATGTCTTTATTATGTTTTAGCACATACAGCTTTGTTATTGATGGGTTGTTGTTTTAAGGGAACTAGCACTTTGCTGATTGTTGCATTGTAAGTGAAGTTAACTGCTGGCATAGTTCACAGAAAGGTGTCTTACTACCACTGAAATCTCCACCCTGTCACTCAGAAATATGAAGAAAGAAACTTTTACCTAATTCACTTTTAATGGTTTGAGCTACAGCTCCACCAAGGCTCTGTTTAGTCTGGACTATCCTAAAACCACCCCTTATGAAACAGGAGGGCCAGGGCACAGGGGTTCTCACACAGTATATTTACTCACTACACACTCTTGTGTTACAAACTGGTATTACATGCAAATACAGCCAACCTCTAGTACTTCAGTCAATCGCATTTCAACACATTACAAAAATGTTTTGGACCTCAAATAGCGACAATTGTTTTTACACATTTTGTTGGTAGCTTTTAGTCTGTAGAGCTACAGGTTCACATGTTTGAAGCATCACTGTGGATGTGGGATACTTTTACTGCACCGCTTTAATGCCATGGATTTAATCTCTGCTAATGCTAGCGCTAACTCGGCCACCTCACTTGCCGCTCATGTGACACGCTCCCATTTCTCCATCAAGAGTCTCCCAGTGGAGGTTAGAGAACCGGAGGCTGTAGGTCCCAACCTTAAACCAAGTCTTCACAGTTAAAGATAAAGGTTTACCAGGACTTCTTTTTGTCCCCACATGTCAGTGTGATAACAGACAAATGTCCCCATAGCATCAGTAATGCAAGTACACACACTTTTCTGATGGGAATAGTGAGTTTTAATCCAGACTAATCTGGATTTGAGAGGCTGCAGGATTGTTTTCACTCAGCAGGAGTTCACACCGAGTCTCTCACCCACACATTAGATGCTCTGTGTGTGTGTGTGTGTGTGTGTGTTCGCCTCAACCAAATTCTCAGAGATAAGTCTTCCATTTTATTGTTTACACTGAACTTTGACCTGATTTGTCATAAATCTCCTGCAGATAACAACATGAAGGCTGATGACAGTTTATGTGATGTGTGTCTTCTCACACACACACACACACACACACACACACACACTGATTCTCAGGGAACAAGCTGACACACATTTACAGATAAAACAGGTTGGAGGAAAAACCTACTTTGCATTGTGGGAGAATTTGGGTTGAACCCGAACGAGGAGGGAGTCAGATGTCAGTGCTTCCATCCAGCTGCAGCTCAAAGGTTTAATAAAACATGAATCCATGCTTTACTTTTTATTAAACCTCTGATCCTCTGAACATGAGTTCACCTCTGGTCAGGAAAAGAGCAGGTGGAGTAAATCCTCCTGTTGGGGTCCTTAAACCACACAGAAGAAAGGACGAGCCTCGGAGCTCTCAGTGGTTGGTCTTGTTGTTCCACGAGAGGCGCAAATTATTTATTCCAATATGAATAGAGATTAATGGAGGCTCTGAGATGTAGCCCAAAAATGTATTTTCATCATCGATAGAAGAGAACAATTGCAGTTAAAGCCCCGAGTCTCATAGACATTACCACCTTACGACATTTTGATTTGAAGCATGATAGCATCAGCTTCAACCCCCAGCAGCTACTTCCTATACACACACACATGCTGGTTTAACTGTACTGCTGATGTATGGTTACTGTTTTCTGCAAGGTGCAGTTTTTATGGTCTAATTAGCTTTCATGTTTAAAAAAGAAAAGATTGTTGATATTACATCTCTGAAAACTGAAACAAAAAGGTTTGAATAATTATTTCAGCAGTTTGACCCCGGCTCGCCCATGTTGGCTAAGAAGGTGAACACAGGACTGCTGGCGTTTCTTTTGAGGAAGTGCTTTTAACACTAAATATTTGCAATTGGTTTTTGTTTTGTTTTAATTTAAGTAATGCTTTCATTTTCATATTAATCTCCAACAAAACGGGAATTGTTTTTAATGATGTTTTATCCACAAATTGAGAAAAGGTTATAATAGCAAACAGCAAGTGTCATCAACTAGACGTTCACCCAAAGAAAGGACCCAAATGCACACCAAATAAATAACAAACAAATAACAGAATACAGAGCGGGCAAAGCCTTAAGTAAATAATAACGACGGAGAGTCGGTGACTGGGACAGAGAGGGAGTGGCCTAGTAAATCAGGTTGCAGGAGCGGGCACAGAAAAGGCATCAGAGGAACAGGAGGGATTCTGTAACAGACGGAGAGGCAGGAACTTCACAATCATGAGCAGGTGAATGATTCTCCTTACTTTACAGGTCCAAGTTGGTAAACACTGAGAAGGGGAGGTCCATGAAAGTTTCCTTGAGAGTCCTGAGGTTAAACAAGAAGGTCGGAGGGCAAAGAGATGGAGAATATCCAGGTGGGATTGAACCAGGGAATGCAACACCAAACACAGGGAAAACAGAGTTACACAAGGAAGAAGCAACTAGCATGAGTCTCAGAGGGTCAGTCTAGTTACCACAGTAGTGAGCTTAACAAACTGGTGAGGAAAGGCAGGTTGCACAGGTTTAAGTAGCTCTCCCGCTGATTGCTTGCAGATGGAATACAGGTGAGGCGCTGGCCCCACCCAAAAGGGGAGGAGCCACAGATGGAAAACTCCCACGGACCATGACAGGAA